GTAAATACGGGGTTTGCATACCATTTCTTGCGCATTACGGTTCGAACACTCGAACACCTATACGGATTCTCCTGCGCATAGCAAGGAAGGAACAAAGCATGCACATAACACTTAGGCAAACATGATAGCATCAAGACAAGACAAGAACCTTTACCTAGGCAAAACAAGTCCAAGTCTACAAATGCAAGCTTAACAAGACAAAATCATGCAAATGTACATGAACATGACTAAGACATGAATGTTGGTTATTACATCTTCTCTATTTACCGAGCTCTCCACTACAAGAAAATGTACTTTTAGCGACCACTTTGTCTCTCTCTCGCTCATCACTTTGTCTCTGTCTGTCTGTTTGTCTCTCTCTCTCTCTCTTTCTCTTTCTCTCTCTATCTCTCTTCTCTATCTGTCTCTCACTCATCTCTCTCTCTCACCACCCATCTTCTCTACCACATTCACCACTACTGCTTCCTGGTTCGTATTGTTGGAACTGTCCACATTTGTCTTCTTCTTGGCATCATGTTGGTCTTGGTGATTGTCATAGGTCTGCCTCTTTTTCTGATTCTCCCCTAAACTCTGACTTCTGTTCAAGTTAGCTTCTGCAAGGATGGCTTTATCTAATACTCCAGCATACGTCGGCATGTTAAGTAAATTAACCCGGTCTTGAATTGGCCCTCGAAGTCCACTCTCAAACTTGCGAGCTTTCCTGTATTCGTTGTCGACCATGTGAGGTGCATACCTTGCCAACTCGGTGACAGCACGATCATACTCCGCCACTGTTTTGCTACCCTGGGTCAACATATGAAATTCTGTGGTTTTGCGATCTCGGACACTGAGCGGAAAATGCTTGTCATAGAACAGCTCCAAAAATCTGGCCCAAGTCAAGTCTGGGTTACCTTCTCGGATCATCATCCACCATCTTCGAGCGTCGTCTTCCAAAGTGAATGCTGCTAATGACACTTTCTGAGCGTCGGTGCTAGGAAAAACCTCGAACAACTTCTCTATCTCAAGAATCCATGCTTCTGCCTTCATCGTCTCTATACCTCCATGGAACTTTGGCGGTTTCATCTTCTTAAATTCTCTGATCAGGGTCAATGTGTCATCTCCATACAAAGTTGGCTGCGGAGGCACTTGTGGTACTGAAGGTGGTGGAACTGCATGTCGGCCATCTGTCTGCTCGGCCTGGGTGGAGGTAGTACCGGTGTTCTGCTGCCTTGCCTGCCTTAATTCATCGGCCAAACTTTCAACCAATCTTTCCAATCTGTTTATTCTGTCCTCGGATTGATCTCAGCCAACTGGGGGTCTAGAGTTCTAGGCGTAGAAGTAGGAAATCGGAATCAAATATCAACATACATACATACAGACTTGTTTGAATCGTCAATCAAATATCAACCAATCGATATCGATGGCTTCATCTTCGGATTCCATGGACAACACTTTCAGAGCTCGAGTCCAGAAGATCTTCGGGTCTCTCATCATCATCATCATCGCTAAGCCCTCCGTGGTCTCTCACCGACGATGAGGTCGAGAAGAGAGAGTGGCAACGACTCTCCTCCGCCCAAGACGACTACCAAACCCCCATTTCTTTCTCTTTCGATGGCCTTTTCGCCAAAAATAATCGACGACGACACGACCTCCAAGATATCAATGACGATGATGATCAATTGGGAGGCGGTAGACATTCCTGTGAATATGTCGAGGGTGATGGTAGAGATGAATGGGATATCAGATTGTCCATTGGCTTGGACTCAACGCTTGATAACGAGGTTCAAGTTCGAATTTTGTTTCTCATTTTTGTTAATTTAGGTTGGTGAAACTATTTGTTCTTGTTTTGATTTTACCTAATTGGATGTGAAGGCTTTGCTTGATTATGGTTATATGATAGTATTATGATGTGATCAAAGGTCACAAACATGACCTGGTTCTACCTTTGGATCTTGTATTGTATTTGTGATGTGATGGGAAGAAAAAATACACAGACTACATTTTTAATTTTATGCTTGAATTAACCCAAAAAGTAGATTTTTTTTGACTAATATCTCGTATTAATTTTCTTCTCGTTTTCCAAAAAAGAAAATATATATTTAGGTTCTATTATTTCAATTTCTTTGCCTTTCAGTTTATTGTTTCTCCACAAGTTCAAGATTCAAACACAATAATAATTTTTTAATTTTATAAGTTTGTTTGATAAATAAATAAAGGTGTTGATTGTGTTTTGGATTTGCTTGAGATGCCACAATACATTTGCTCATGAATGGATGATATAATTTTTTAATGCACAAACGCAACGAGTACTCATTGGTTTTAGAATATTTCTTGCTAATAATACCATTAAACTTGGTTTTAGACATTGCTATATTTTTTGTTGGTACCATATTTGGTTTTATATTGGAAAAAATTGGGATGATTTTTTTTTTTATATTCATCTACTCTCGTTGGTGGAATTCTAGTGTCTATATATGCTTGTAGGGTTGCTTGTAATTTGTTTCTTTATATATATTTGGATGAGTGTGGGAATTTGGAGGTTTCAACTATCTTCAAACTTTCCTTGGGAAATCAATGGACTGGCTGTTTACATCCAAGGCTGATATGTTTCTTGTGATCAAACTGCCTTCAGGAAGAAGAAGATGAATATGATAAAGTGGCCGAGGGTAGAGAGATCCACAGTGGCTGCTGGTGCAACGCCACATCGGACAGGATGCTGGCCCTTCTCATGATCCTTTTGCTGGAAGGGAAGGTTTTTCGATTCACAAGCACTCTGTTTTCTTGACTTTCTTGTTTTTTTGATTACTGTTTGTTTAGTGTTAGATCGGATGGCTGAAGGGGGAGTTCAATCTCTTTGCCTTTCAGTTTATTGTGCTCCTAGTGAAGGAAATAATGGTTTAAATACTTTCACTCATATTTATGGATAATGCTAGGCGGAATGCATAGGTGGTGAAGAAGCTTTAATTTGCAATATTATAACCAACTTATTCACACACACAAAAATTTATCCTACAATAATTAGGTTAGGTTGTCATTGCGTCTTGTACTCAACTTGGCATTGACTTAAAAATGTCTTGGGGTTGATATTGAGTTTTATTGTAATATTTTCATTTGAACTCATTAGTACTGAACGCAACGAAAGTAATATATTAATTAATAGTAAATATCATTTTCCCTTGTCACATGCACCACTATGCCAAAATATGTTGTGTACATTATTGTTGTTGTTTTTCTAACTTGTTCTTTTTTTCTTTTTAAGTACATTTTAAATAGTAGGAATAGGGTAATATTATGTTTTCTGACAAAGTCTAAATATATAATTTAGTTTATTCTCTGTAAAAGCTTAAGATATTTCGAATGTTTTTTTCCCCCTCCTTTGATTAGAAAAATAGAAAATATATTTGGCAAGAACAAATAATTGACTAATTAATCTCTTTTCATTTATGTTGCTTAGCTGCAGGTTATGTCATTCCCAAAGGATGTTTTGTGGTTCCATTTCTTTCAGCAGTCCATTTAGATGAAAATTTGTAGGAAGGATCAATCACTTTCAATCCATGGAGATGGATGGACCCTTTGAATCAGGTCAGTCAAACAGAGATGCACACTTAGATTCGCTAATTATACTATGTATATATCGATATGTTACATAATAGCAAGTTTAGGAATACAGAACCGGACACAAAAACACATGAATGGATAGGATTTACAGCATTTGTTGATGGGACCTACTTTTGAAAATTTGTGTCCATTGATGTATTTTGTGTCTTGTTTTGTTCTATATTTGATCTATGTGTTTCTAGACTTATTGTTTGCATGTTACCACTTTGCTTTCATCTACTCTTGAAAATAAATAAATAAAAGCTATTTTTTTGTTTTTGTTTTTGTTTTTGTTTTTGTTTTGTTTCCTATATAAAGGAAAAGAGAAATTGGAGAAGCAGTCCATTTTATGCTCCATTTGGATGAGGAGCTCGATTTTGTCTAGGGGCAAAGTTGGCTCGCCTTCAAATTGCTCTCTTTCTTCATTACTTCGTTACTACATACAGGTTATTTTCATCCCTCAAATACTTATGAAAAACATTATACAGACAAACAGACTTTTACATAGTACCAAAATAAAAAATAAAAAACTTTAGAAAAATTATGTTGCATTAATTAATGGTTGTAAAAGATGTCCTCAAATTATGGGTTTGTTTTTTGAGGGTTTATATATATATATATACATCACCAAATACGTTTCACCATTTTCTTCAACTTCTTAGATAGATCCACACAATAAACTCCACCATATTTGCATGTAGGACACATCACATTCAAAAATTAATGGTGGGTCTCATTATTTATTTATAAATATGATGGATTATATACATATTGTTTTTTGTGTGGATGATGTGAAGAAATTATGCTGTAAATGAAGTTCTTATTTCGCTGCAAATTATTTTGGTAGGTGGACCCAACTCAAGGAGGATCGGATGTCTTTCTTTCCTTCAGCTCGATTAGTGAATGACTTTCAAATCCAAATAACCAGACGGGATGACGAGTTGAAAAAAATAAAATAAAAATAAAATTTTTATTTTCCCATTATACATTACATACTGTTAATGCCCTTATCCTTCCATAATTTTTTAATCATTGTAAAATTTTTATTATGAAGAAATTGTTATTTTTATACATGAATTTTTATATTATTATGGAGAAATTTTAATATTTTTAATAATTTTATCGGAGGATTTTTTTTCTTTTTGTGACGGCACTACACCGTCGCAAAAAATAGAAAATTTTATTATTTTTATTGATTTTGTTACAGGTTTTACTTTTTGCGACGACACTAAACTGTCGCAAAAAATAGAAATTTTATTGTTTTTTTAATACTTTTTTGTGACGGCAGTATACTGTCGCAAAAAAAATAGAAATTTTCATATTTTTATTACTTTTTGCGACGGCACCACACCGCCACAAAAACAATGTTCTTGTCACTGCAAAAAAAAAAAGACTATTAGCGACGACATTTTTTGCCGTCTCAAATAACATTTTTAGCGACAGTAAAATAGTGCTATCGCAAAAAGTCAAGAAATTTCAAACATTATTAGTGACTGCAAAGTGCCGTCGCAAAAGACAAAAATGCCGTCACAAAACATTAGCGACGGCACTGTGCCGTCGCTAAAACTCTTTTGCAACCCCCCAGTTGCGACCCCCCTCTTACCGTCGCAAAAAGTTTTTTGCGACGACATTAGGAGTGTTAGCGACAGTATTTTACTGTCGCAAAAAGCTGAAATTTTAGTAGTGTAATTTCAGTTATAACTCACAATATGTAATTCAAAGGCTATAGATGCATTGCAGTTACAAGAATGTTATGAGTTTCATGGCTATGAAATAATTACATATATAAGACTATTATGGTCATAACATTGGCATTCCAACCATCTAACTATGAGCAAATAATCTTACAAACAATAGTGTTGAACTCCAACAATACACAATAATGTTTGGAGTAATTCACTTGATTATACACATGAAGGCATGGAAAAACTCACAACCGAAACAACAATTAATTAATAGAATTATAATGCAAAATTATTCCACCATGCACTAATTTCTCTTAGGATCCATCCACCTTATAATACAATATAATCACAAGCAAACTCAAAAATAAGACCATTATATAGAAAAAAACGGAAACTGTTTTACTAAATTTTCTCCTAACACAAGCCTGTTTGGAGATTATACCATCGGAAACCTCTCGACTAACCGAATCTCTTCACATTCTCAATATCCATCACTTTGTTTTTTTCCAGAATTTAATTAATCAAACTAAATTGAAATTGTTACCAAACTTTCAAAACAACAAACAGAATAAACCTGAAATAAAACTGAATTATAAAGTGAATAATTAAATTCACTAAAATTCTGAAGGTCCAATATTATTCCTTATTCCATGCAAAGGTAATCCTGTTCAAATAAAAAATTAGTAGTCTAATTTACTAATTCCAATTTATTATATTTGTTTGTATTATATATCATGCTTTCGCGTTTAGGTTAACCTGTAGAAAAAGTTAACTACCACAAAAAACAAATAACAAACAAATCAAATAAATTAGTAAGAATCTTAAAGAAAGAATTTTATTTTTATAAATTCCTAGCAACTTAAGCACTAACCATCAAATAACTCATGTAACAACAACTAATTAACATAAAATAAATTTCATGAATAAATTACTTGAAACAAACAACTCAAATTCCAATAACTCTAGGAAATTAAATTAATTTTAATTCCAAGAGTCACTAGAATAAAATTATAATAAAAACTAAATTGTTTTATCAAAACCTATTTATAAAAGTTTGTTTTAAGATTGTTGGTATTTTTCCATAATAATACAAGAAAAATATATAAAATAATTAAATAGAAATGACCAAACAATTTTTTTAATTTAAAGAATGAAATACAGAATAAACTACACAACTAAAATTCCATATATGAATTAGATTACATTACTAATTAAACAAATTATTAATTGGATAACTAAATATTAGAACTCATCTTTGTAAACTAAGGCCTCGTTTGGCAAGTACTTGTTTTAGCCTAAAAGTCAAAAAGTCATTAAAAAAACCAAAAAGCCTATAACCTATTCAAAAAAGTCAAAGATTCCCCTTTCTCTCTGCTTTTTTCACATCTTTTCGTAAAAAATTAAAAAATCATACCAAACATATTAGTTTTTTTACCTCATATTTTAGCCAAAAAGTTACTAAAACAGCATGTTCCCAAACAAGGCCTAAGTATTGAAAATTTTAAGAATAAATGATAAGAAAAGAAGCAAACCGAAGCTTGCACTAGACAGTTTCCTTAAAGCAGATTCACCGCCCCCCGATAGATGCTGGAGGTACGCTGGCGTCTGTCTCCCAGGATACGACGATCAAAACCAGCTAATGTAGAAGTACCTTCTGAATAGTTTCGGCGAACTTGACAATAGATGCACTCTCTCCAACAAGAACCAAAGAAGGGGTTAACAAAAGAAGATAGGAAATTTTTCTTTGGTGTAAAAAATCATCTCCAACTTTTTTATCTCAAAACACCGTCTCAATTTTCCAAAAAAAAATCTCTCAAAAACTTTTCTTCTAAGTTGAAGGGGAAATGCCCTTTTTATACTTGTAGGGAAGGGGTCTTAGCCACAAAGGCTACCATAGAACCTAGCATCAATGGCCATCAACGGCCATCAACTCTAGTCATTAGGGCTAAAGTTACAAAGGTGCAAAACTCCCATGTGCATTATATGATGATCAACTCTATCATCAAAAATGAGAGTTACAAAGGTTGAATAAATAAATAAATATATATATATATATATATATAATGCTATTTAAATAATCCAACTAGACGGGTTGCAAAATGGATACAAGTGTTGGATCACAACCCAATCCAAACCCAGTCTAAAACATATGCACAAGACAAGCCCAGTCCAACATAGCACAATCTAGTCCATGCCCAAGACTAAGTCCAACACATGCACATATACAAGCCTAGGCCAGTCCAGACCATGACTAAAACTAAGTCCAAGTCTAAGCCTAGGCCTAAGCCCAACTTCTATTGATGCCAACGTTATGAGACAATTCTCATTCACAACTCAATGGTTTCGGCCCATCATCTTTATATTGTAATCTTCTCACTTGAGAGAATATAAAACCACTCAAACCCACTTCAGCCGGTGGTTGGATCTCACTTTAATTTCGAATTAAAGTTGTTGAAAAGCCATTATTTTCCAACAAAACCAAAATTACATTTTTAATCCTCGTGTTAGAAATGTTTACTAGGAAGAGACCCACCGATGAACTATTTAAAGATGGTTTAAGCCTCCATAGCTTTGTGAAAGAGGCTTTGCCTGGCAGTGTATTAGAGATTTCAGACCTAATACTTTTCAGACCGAAGGAGAAGAAGAAGAAAACTTCATAAGGAGTGAAAAGATTGTGGAATGCTTGAGTTTGATACTTGAAATTGGAGTCAAATGTTTTTCGGATTTGCCTAGAGAAAGAATGGAGTTTGATGATGTTGCATCTAAATTGCATTTCATCAAAGACACTCTTTTAGGATCTGAAATACATTGAAAGAGATTAATTTATGGGGTCATCAATTGGAATGTAATACTTTTGTCTTAATAATCTCCTTTCTGGAAGAGATTACATGTTTAATAACAGCCTTATTTTCGCATTGGTTGAGCCAACTGCACATTTGGTAAGTAAAAAGTAATGTTACCTCTTCATCCAAGGAGAGGTTACAATATGCACTTGCACATTGTAAAAAAAGTCATATTTTTTGTGAGAAAAGTCATATTTTTTGAGATGAAAATTACGATTTTTGTAATGAAAATTATAAATTTTGAAGTTGTCATTATGCATAACTAAAGTGCACTTTATGTGAGAGAAGTTAAACATTTTGTCAGAATAAGAAGAAGTTATATTTTTTGTGAAGAAAAAAATTATATTTTTTGTGACAAAAGTTATATATTTTGTGAGAGAAGTTATGCTTTTTGTATAAGATGCATACCATATGCACCCAACAAGTGACTTTCCCATTCCAAAAAAGTGTTACAATTTGAAATGTGTAAATATGATTTATTTTGAGTGTGATTCACATTACACCAAATTTAAATCTATACCACGAATTCAAAATTTATATATGTTTTTAATATTTTTTCTTAGTACATAACATCAATCATGCACATTTTACTTTATTTTTGAGTTGGGTTAATTACATTTTTCCTATTATGTGTCTTGCATCATTTTGGTCATTGATAATTTAAATGTGCCAATTTGATTTCCAATCTATTAATTTTGTTGTAAATGGTTTCAAACTCCGTTTTAATTTAAAATTGATAATAGAAATAAGGGCATTTTCATCAAATTACATTTAAAATATCAGCAAAACGGGAAAAAAAAATTCTCAAAATGTGTGATTAGTTTCATTTTGCTCCCTAATATTTTCAATTGTGTCAATTTAATTCCTAACTTATTTAGCGTCATAGGTGATTTGATGAAAATGCCCTCACTTCCGCTATCAGTTATAGGCAAAAACCAACATAAAGACTATTTAGTGACAAAATTAATTAATTAAAGATTAAATCAAAACATTTAAAACATTAGATATTATTTGTGCAAACATAAGAGACGCACTAAACTATTGGAACTAATGAGCTCCGGTGCATTTTGCACTACATGCTGTTTTGGGGTTAATTACACTTACGATTCTATATATATATATATATATATATTTAGGCTAAATTACATTCATATCAGTTTAGTTTTCTTAATTTTAATTTAAATAATTTGATTTATATACTTTTAATTTTGTTACAAATGTGATTCCTCCATCATTTACTATAAAAATTTGAAAATAAAAAGACCATGTGTAAAACTAATGTAACCAAAGATCGGTGGTCCCTTTTTGTTTGTTTGAAATTTCACTTTAATCCATCTAATTTTACACATGATTTTTTTTTTGGTATTATTTTTTATTCAAAGGTTAGTAACACATGACAGATGGATCACATTACAATAAAATT